GACTCAATGCCACACACATGGATCTGTGAAAGCCTGACACTATACAAAGTCAACAGGACACTAAGGACCTTCCTCAATAGCTCAGTGGGACTGTGGAGGACAACACTGGAAGTCAACACAAGACAGCTCATACAAGTGGTCATCAAGTGCAGCATATACCAAGGTGATGCACTGGCCCCGCTGCTGTTCTGCATCGGCTTGAACCCCCTCAGCCAGATAATCACAAGGACTGCATATGGGTACAAGTTCAAGAGTGGAATCACCATCAGCCACATCCTCTACATGGATGATGTCAAGCTGTAGGCTAAGAGTGAACGAGACATCGACTCGCTGATCCACCTGACATGGATTTACAATGAGGACATTGGGATGTTATCCGGACTGGAGAAATGTGGCGGGATGGTAGTAAAGAGAGAGAAGGTAGTTAAGACCAGCAGGCCACATAGCAGACATACAGACCAGTTACAAGTACTTTGGTATCCCAGTGTCCCATGGGAACCACAATGAGGTGGCAAGGAAGACAGCAATGTCCAAGTACCATCAAAGGATAAGACAGGTCCTGAAGAGCCAGCTCAATGGGAAAAACAAGATCATGCCATCAACACGTATGCCCTAATAGTCATCAGATACCCTGCCATTATAGTGAGCTGGCCAAAGGAGGACATGGAGGCTGCTGATGTGAAGACCCAGAAGCTCCTCACAATGTATGGAGGTTTCCACCTCAAGTCCAACACCCAGAAACTATACACCAGCCAGAAAGAGGGTGGGCAGAGTCTGGTGAGTGTCAAAGCTGCTCTCCTGGATGAAACCCAGAGCATCCAGTAGTACCTCAGTAAGATGGCACCCAAAGATGAGCTGCTGAGAGAATGCCTGAGGCAGCAGCAGTCATGGGAGGAAGTTCATGCAGAGGAAGTGCCATGGTAAGACAAGACCCTGCATGGGATGTACCATCGACAGATAGCTGAGGCGGCTGACACTCAGAAATTCTACCAGTGGCTGGAAACGGCTGAACTAAAATACTGCACTATGAGGCACCGATCATAGCAGCACAAGAACAAGCACTAAGCACCAGATCCATAGAAGCAGGGGTCTACCGCATCAGACAGTCCCAAGGTGCAGACTGTGCAGAGAGGCCTCAGAGACAGTCCAACACATAGCGGCAGGGTGTAAGATGCAGGCAGGAAAAACATACACTGAACGGCACAACAAAGTCGCTGGCATTGTGTACAGGAACATCTGCACAGTGTATGGGCTAGACCTGCTCAAGTCCAGATGGGAGATTCCACAGAAAGTCATGAAGAATAACATGGCTAAAATCCTGTGGGACTTCCAGATCCAGACAGACAGGCAAGTACTGGCCAGTCAACCAGACATCGTGGTAGTAGACAAGGACCAGAAGACAGCGGTAGTGATAGATGTAGCAGGTCCAAGTGACAGCAACATCAGGAAGGAGGAGTATGAAGAGCTGGACAAGTACCAGACCCTGAAGGAAGAACTAGAGAGGATGTGGAAAGTCAAAGCCAAAGTGGTCCTAGTGGTGGTAGGAGCCCTTGGGGCTGTGACTCCTAAGCTGGGAGAGTGGCTCCAACAGATCCCAGGAAAAACACCAGAGGGCTCTGTCCCG